TAGCGACACTCTGGTGCTAGATTCACTTAACAGTATTATATTTCGTTCATATTATAACTCATAATGCATAAAACTTATATCATTTAAAGAATAGAATTATCTAATCGTTACCACATGTTCTATTCAAATATTATAATAAAGCTAGAACGATGTATAAAAGAAATTAAGGAAACAAAACAAAAAAGAAACAGTTTTTCACAGACGATTGAGTATTTCTCATTCAATTTATTCAGTTCTCACTTCGCGAGAAGGCAAAAATACATAAAATCTCTAAATATCTATATTAAAAATTACGAAGTAAATCTGAAACACTTATTTCCTCGAAAAAATTCCAGAAAGGATTAAGCATGATTAAATTGGCAATAATAAATGAAGGCGTTATCTTTGTTGTTGCGAAACTAAGTTTCTCTAGATTGGCAACAAATCCACTAGTCTGCTGTTTCAAATGTAAACAATCAATGGCCGCCATCAGAAAAAAGGCTTAGCGGCACTTAAAAAACTTTAAAATTACTGATAATTCTAAAAATATTGCACACAGATTTACTAAAGGCATAAAATCCTTAACCGGAAGATAAAACAACATAATGCAATCATTTTTAAAGCAAAAAATGTACAATTTACAAAATATAGAGTAAAGAAATTGAGATCACTGAGCCGGGGGTAAAAGAGTGGATATATATATAAATATATTTATATACGTTTGGTGCGGCCGATTGCAACCAAAATACGAGGTGCACATCTACATGTTATAGCAGTCCTATATACAAAATTTCAACGTTCTGAGGAAAAATTTTCTTCAGAATTAATTTTAAAGCAGTTTTATAATTTTTTTGGAGGAAACGAGTCTTTTATTCTGTCCTTACGTTCAGATATCACACAAAAACATCGTTAAATTGCATTCGATAGCGGTCAAAATGGATATTTTCTTTGAAATATGCTGCCTGAAACTTTTCGCGTTTACAATACTTCCTTTTTACTTCGTACAAGGAAATAAAAATGGTATTAAATTTTTAATATGTCGAAGACTAATGATTAGAAATTTTATATCCTGCATATTTTCAAATAAATAGTTAAGGTAAACAGTTATGGAAAATTGAATGTCTGAACAGTTGAACAGTTTTCAAGAAAAGTGTACCGAAAGTATATATATATATATATATATATATAAAAAAACATTTTGAGAAAAACTATTTAAACACTAATAATTTATAAAAAAATCATTTTAATATTTTTCTGCACCATAATCATTTTCAAATGACATTTCTGCCTCTAGTTGTTTTTGCTTTATTAATTTATGTTTCTTTCTGGCCATTTTAGAAAGCTTTTGGCAAGCGCGATGGGCCTCACGAATTCTATTCACGAATCTATTTTCGCAAAGACTTTATAAAATCCTGGTTGTATTCCTAATAAATCTATTACTTTATTGCGGCTTTCTACACCATCATTGAAACATATTTATCGCATCCAATAAAACTAATTTTAATGTGATGACACTCACAAAATGTCCGCATACAATGATTAAAACTTTCATTCGCATTTTGAGTTCTAGTTTTTTGTTAGAGAGACTTCTAAGCACACTTTTAACAGCTAATAAAACAGGTTTCGGCAAAGGATGTTTATGAACATACTTTTTACCAGCTAATATGGCTTTATTGTTGCCACACCAAACAGCTGTCTCTTCTAAACTGGTGGCTTGCTAATGCTTGTTTACATTTTATAATAAAAGATTTCGGTCTTTTAAATTTCGAAACATGCATCAATTATATACTTTTGGAATCATCTCAGGCTACTTTATTTTTTAGACTAAAATTTAATATTTTTATGTCATATGTCCCCTTAAAAAAGAAAGAGAGGGGAAAATATGCTCTCTTAGTATCTATCATAAAGGGCTGGGTTAGTTAATTTGGCAAAGCACACTAAGGCTACCGTTGAAGGGGAGGAATGCTTTGTGGAGAATGTTTTGAGGGAAATTGGCTTGTGTACACGTTAAACATATGAAAAACCACGAAAACGGCTAAGGAGCGAGCGAGTTCGCCTGGTGTCCAATCCAGGTCAGAACTACCAGTGTTCAGCAATTTTACCGCTCGGCCGCTGATGGAGATCATAAGGGAGAAAGGTTTTTACTAATAAAACTATGTAATGTTTAATTTGTCATTGGATCTAATATAAAATTGTAAGGATTATGTTAATTTTATTAACAGTTAAATTTTGAGTTAAAGTTCCTTTACTATCGATTCTTAACTTCAACTTATCACTTCGGGCCAGAACGCAGTTTTAAAATCACAGCTGAATACATAATGAGAGAGAGCGGTATTTAACCGCGAAATTCTTCGGTCTTAGTGAGAGAGATACCAGGTATTTTGGCTGCACGCGTCCGCCTTTTTAGGGTGATCTCTCGTAAGCTCTTATTATGCTCGGCCGTACTTTAGGCTCTTGATAGCTTCGCAGTCTATTAACGTTAAGGGGCCAACTCTGTTAGAACCTTGATAGCTTCGGGTACATATCTTTAGTTAAGATTAGTTTAGTTTAATTCTTAGTTTCTTAAGTTCAAGCCCAAGTGTCGGCCTTATTGTACACTCCAAGACGGAGTTTTGTTAAACTTTAGTTGGAATAATAAAGGGTTAGTTTACCCTTCTATCTTGTTGTTTCCTGTCACACGAACTCAAGCTATTATTCGCTTATCAGTTCTTAAGATTCTTCACATCCAACAGTAACTTAAAATTACAAAGTGAGAAACTCTACAAAATCATTTCGCATGACTCTCAGAGAAAAAAACATGATTTATCTTTGTTCTGTATTTTCGGTAAGATAAGATACAAATTGTACGATTTCAGACCAAAATGTTCCATATCCAATCAACTCAAGAGAAAGCAGCAGAAGCGTGAAAAGAAGGTCAATGAAGGTGAAAAAGCAAAGATGAGGCATAGGGAAGGCAATGGAATGTCAATGCTTTGCCACTTTTAACAGTTTCGAATTTTGTTCTAATTAACTTTAGCATATAAAATGCAAAACAAATATATAAAAATCTGCTGGTTGAAGTTAAAGGATTTCAAACAGAAACCACATATTTTTAGCATCATTTGTGTTCACATTCTACACCAGTCTGAACAATAGTTGTGCAATACACTGACGGCATACCAAAGCCAGGTTTTTCAGTCCCTCAAGGTTAGAAAGGTAAATATACTTTAAAACATTTATGTCTTTCATTTTCCATGAATTTTAATCCTTACCTATATACATGAATAATTAGCAAGTTAAAAGAATATGGAGTTAAGAATAAAAAAATACAAATGTTCTCATGTTAAAAAAGAAGACAAATAAAAAAATTAGTACTGTTAATAACTTTTAACTATAAACTATCATGTCAGCGATATAGACACAGTCAAAGAGCCTATTATTGAAGTACCTTAAATTATTAAGCTCCCTTCATCTTAAGAGAAAATATCCATTGAAATTTATAAATAAAGAGGTGATCTTCCTCCTTGCCTCAGATTTGCAAAATTTATACAATAAGCACTAATAGTTCTTATATAATTGAAAATGATCGGATATACGTGACATGCAGCTAAACAAAATCTGGAAAAACGGCAAAAGATTAATGGGACTTAAAATATCTCACTTTAAATTAGATTTACTGCCATTTGACTTGCAAAATTTTTTGCAATCTTATCGATTTGCAAAAATTTGTTAAGTGCCATACTCTATATTAAATGAAGTGCTGAAAAGTTATTGGAAGAAATTACAAGATTGCTGTGAAACGATACAACAGAACAGAAAAAGAAGCATGATAAAATATGGGTACTTTTTGAGTGAACAAAAAAATGTGAATTTAGTTTTATAGAAAAACTAAAATTGTTTCAAAAGAATCTTAAAGAGACTTCTCACTTTCAGTTTGCTCCGCGAAGGTGAGGGAACTTTATCAGATAACACTGCATATACCAAGTCAATAAAATGTTGAGTTTTGGTAGGCAATACTTTTGTCACTTGAAAAACGTCAATCTATATCTGATTCACTGCATAAAAAATTAATAGAAAAACAGCATCAATCTAAGAATGAAATGCAAATTTCGCTATATCTAGAAATATCATAACGTGAAATAGAAATAAATTTGCATTTCTGAAGAATGCAATTATTATGGAAGAATCAATGATTCCGATATGATTAGAAGTTGCATGAAAATTCAATCAAAAACTCAGTTAATGTCAGATATGAAATTTACTGTAATGAAAATTTCTATTATGTTAGTTAAGGTGAAAGTTTAAAATTACCAGTTATTTAAAAAATTTAGCAAGACATTTGAAAGACCTTAACTTATGCACAGGGATAATTTTTCAACTTACTGAAAGTGGACTTTAAAAACCTTTTAAAAAAGCTTCCTTAACTCATTCCTCCAATTTAATATTGAAGCTTCTACGATCAGAATCAGTGTTGTCGACGCGTAAATTATATTATTCTTTCATTAAATTCTTATTCTTAAATATTTAAAATGAAACCGCAGAAGAAAAATAGATAAGAACCAATAAACAACAGCTTTACCAGTTTTTCAACAATATTTTATGATATATAATTCAAAAATACTAAAATTTGAATCTAGGTGAAGTAAATGAAAATGAACTAATATAGCTGTAATTATTACAACTTCGGAAGAGAAATTCTCTGATTGGTCAGAAGTAGTACGTAATTCCTTCGATAATATATTACAAATATGGTACTAAAACACAAACCTCAGAGAGAAAATGAAATCTTCCAGAAACAGGCAACGTCCGATTTAAATGATTTAAAAAGATGTCAGATTTTATAAACAATAAAGATAACAAGGAAAAAAAGTAGGGACAAGGTTTAATTTAGTGATCTCGAGAGATGATTGAGACCACAATTAGCATAATAAAACAGGTCGACAGAATAAAGAACGATGCGGATCGAATATCAATTGATGCGATCAGACTGCGGAACACGTGCTGCAGGGGCAAAACAAAATCGAACAGACAGCATGACTTACCCTGAAAGGTTGTTGCACCCACCCCCGTCTCAAGTTCCACGGCAGACGACAGCATAGTGCTACCGACATATCTCCTCAAGATTCACAGCATATCCTTTACCTTGATACGTAATAAGTGTCCACAGCGCGAACGCTCACACCCGCATGCATTTGAGTTGTTTGGTTGCCGCAGCGAGGTAATACAATAAATGCGCAAACCGGCGACCAGCCAGACGCCAGCTTCTTCTGTCCGGCCTCCTTTAACGATATGCTAGCGTAAAAATAGAAGCCAAAACAGCGGCGTTCGACATCAGCCCTCCATTTCGCCCCCCGATTTCCCCTTCAAGTTTTCACGTCAGAAAATTTATTTTTTTCACTGTTCTGTGAGGCACGTCTGACTCAAAGAGACGACTCTTTATTTTTATGCGGTTTGTTATTTAGGCGATCGGTCTCGCAAATCATCTCAAGGACTGCGAACTGGGGAAGCCGCTTCGCCTTGAGATCATTCCTGAGTTGTATATAATCTGTTATTCCTATGAATTAAATGAATTCATAAATTATTATTAATGACAATTAATTATTATGCCTCAGTATAAAATTATTAAAGAAAAAAATTTTTTTTGTTCATAATTAAATGTTTGTTCTTAAGCTTAAGTTATGTTAAAAAAATTATCAGTTAATACATCGCAAATATTGCCCAAAATAAAATGAAAAACAATGTTTGTATTTTGTTTCGCCCAGTTTGTTACACTGATAAGGAATTTGCTGTTACAGTTCGAAACATAAAGATCTTACACCGCAAGGACTAGCAACAACTCACATAACTCCCTATCTGCCAAACCACTTGGAATGGTTAAAGCAATGTAGCATATAGCACAAAGAATTGAAAGATAACACTGTAGACATTTCTTATGTTAAAAAACTGTTCATGAAAACATACCGATAACTGAATAACAACAGTTGAAAAGGAAGAACACAATATTAAACATGAAAGTAATATACGCACTTCGAAAAACAACATTTGAAGTCAAAAGAAAATAGTAAAAGTGGAAAAAAAAAAAAACTGATCAGTAATTCTTTTTAAGACAGAGAAACATTTTATTATATTAAGATAGCTTATTATCTTAATATCAAATTCGCGAAACTTTGTTACAAAATCAGCCGTATTACATACATTACATATTACATTACCGTATTACATACACTCTCACAATAAGTCCCATTGGTGAAAACTTAATTTTTCAGTTTATGACATTATTTAATGCAAATAATGTTGTATAATCCAGACAATTTGCCTGCACTATGACGAGGTTCATCTTTTCCTCTCCGCGCTACGAAACAAAATAATATGTATATATAATTTATTTACTAAATATTGATTAATTGATTATATTATCTCCTAAGTTTAATTAAAGTAGAATTATCTTAAAAGAGTGAATCCATACTAGTAAGTTATATTTTGAAAGATGTTTTGAAGTAACTTGCAAGTAATATATATATATATATATATATATACTAAAAGAATATTGATTATATTATCTCCTAAGATTAATTTTAGTAGAATTATCTTAAAAGAGTAAATCTATACTTAGTAAGTTCAATTTCGAAAAATGTTTTAAAGTAACTTGAATGTAAGTTGTTAAAAATGTTTAACGGGGACTTGAATTAAATCATAAATAACAAAATTTCAATTGTAAAAAGAAATAAATTAAAAGCAAGTAATTAATTAAATGCAAGTAATCATTGCCATTGATTGGAAATTAGCGCGCGCTGGAGATTAAAAAAAAAATTTTCTTACAGTGTTGCCATTGCTCGCTTTGAAATCATTGAGTTTGTTAATCAAAAATTCGTTAAAGTTTTACAAAATAAAATATGAAATCGATAATAAAACAAATTTCAAATTCCAAATTTGGGCTTCCAGATGCCCATATTCGGGTGAAGGATTACGTCATTCAAAATTTGATAGCTCTAGGTACCGCTTTACAGCACAATGCGAGAAACATACATACATTTATGCCGATTCTTCATTATTTAATTCTTTTAAATATAACACAGGGCTCTAATATTTAGTGGCAACAATTTGAAAAGTGATACACCATTTATAGAGATTTGACGCAAAATGCCAAAACGAAATTAATAGCCCTTCTGGGCTAAAGCAGCCCTTTGGGCTAATAATAAAAACAAATAAATAAAAAGATTGGTTGAAAATATTATAAAAGTCTTATGCAAAAATAATTCCAAATAAGCAGGCACCATTCATGTTAAATAATACTAAGACAGAAAATATTCTGCATATTTCTCATATCAAATTAGCAGATTAAATGTATATGCATTTTTCAAAGAAACTAAGGAAGACTGCCTCGGGGGGGGACCCAAAGAGCAGCAAAATATGAATTTAGAATTATAGTTGTTTAATTAGTATAATTAATAGTATTAGTTTAATAAGGTATTTTCTCCTTCCTTCCAGCGTACCTTCGTGGTGTAATGGTAGCACACTCCGTGCGTATTCGAGGGTTCAGGTTCGAGTTCCGGCGAAGGCATCACTCATTTTTCACATTTTCTGCTCCCCCTCCCCCGAAAAAAAACTAATGACTCTACAAGTGAAAAAATAATTTATTAATTAAAAGCCTATTTTTCTTTCGAATACTTTGGATTTTGGTACATGATATCATGTTTTCCCCCTTCACTATAAATGGTGGTTACGTATAATTAATTAATTTGGAATTAAATCAGAAACTTATGGGTTGCAATTATACTGCAGCCAAGTATTTTAATTCATTCATTAAGAAATAAATTAAAGCTTTTGAGAGTGAGTGAGTTCTCTTCCATTGATACTGAACTTGGTCGAGAGACATACAGTTTTAAGTGCAAGGGTATATAGCAATCTCTGCTATTCGCATTCATAAAAGCATTCGGCGTTATTGTTTCGGCGAAAGAACATATTGATTCGGATAGCCCATGATAATTATTTTGAGGGCTTCAAAGGTACAAATAAAGGCATATAAATACTATTAAGGCATATGTACTCTTTTTTGTTTTGTAATGCTTTAGAGCAACTCTGTTATTAAACTGCTTGATGAGTTGTCTATGAAAAACCAGCTTCCGGAAAAAAAAAAAAAAAAAAAAAAAAAAAAAAAAAAAGCTTTTATAATTCATTATTTGTACATACAATGCATCGAGATCATTTGTTTTTATTGTAAAACACACATTATTTATCTCTAATGAATTAAATAAAGAATAAGCTTAATCAGATTATTCTGCTATTTAAGTAACATATGGCGTAATATATATGTTAATTAATTGCAATAATGCTTCAAATATTCGTAAAAATTATCAGTTGAATGTTGGCCCATTCTTGCCGCTAGATGGCGGGCGTCCTTTCTTTTTTTTATTTTGCTTTTTCTCTGTTGAGATCTGGCAATGCTAAAGAGTTCTTTCCCCCCTTCCTTGTACGAAGTAAAAAGGAAGTATTGTAATCGCGAAAAGTTTCAGGCAGCATATTTCAACGAAAATATCCATTTTGACCGCTATCGAATGCAATTTAACGATGTTTTTGCGTGATATCTGTACGTAAGGACAGAATAAAATACTCTTTTCCTTCAAAAAAATTATAAAACAGCTTTAAAATTAATTCTGAAGAGAATTTTTCGTGGCGTCTGTACGAACGTATGTACGTACGTGCGTACGTACGTATCTCGCATAACTCAAAAACGAGTAGCCTCAGAACGTTGAAATTTTGTATATAGGACTGCTATAACATGTAGATGTGCACCTCGTATTTTGGTTGCAATCGGCCGCACCAAACGTATATAAATATATTTATATATATATCCACTCTATTACCCGGCTCAGTGATCTCAGTTTCTTTACTCTTATATGTTTGTAAATTGTACATTTTTTGCTTTAAAAATGATTGAATTATGTTGTTTTTATCTTCCGGTTAAGGATTTTATGCCTTTGGTAAATCTGTGTGCAATATTTTTAGAATTATCAGCAATTTTAAAGTTGTTTAATTGTCGCTAAGCCTGTTTTTAATGGCGGCCATTTGAAACAGGAGACTAGTGGATTTGTTGCCAATCTAGAGAACTTAGCTCGCAACAACAAAGATAACGCATTCATTATTATTGCCAATTAAATCATGCTTAATTCATTCTGTAATTTATTCCAGGAAATAAGCGTTTAAGATTTACTTCATAATTTTCAATACAGACGTTTCGAGTTTTTATGCATTTTCCCTGTCGCGAAGTGAGAAATGTATTAACTGAATGAGAAATACTGAATCGTCTGTGAAAAACTGTTTATTTTTTGTTATTATTGTTGTTCTTTGCTTAATTTCTTTTATACATCATTTTAGATTTATTATATTATTTGAACAGAACATGTGGCAACGATTAGATAATTTTTAAGATGATATAAATTTGTGCATTCTGAGTTAAAAAATGATTGAAATATAATACTGTTAAGAAAACCTAGCGCCAGAGTGTCGCTATGGTAAACAAAGTGAACTTTAAAGAATGCATTTATTTTGTGGTTTATGCGCTGTCGGCGAAGTAAGGTTTAATTCAATCTAATAAGTTTAAATGAAATGCAAGAAAAAATGCGTATAATTTAATATTCCGTACAAGGAAGTCATGTGGTGTACATATCAGATTTTTTACTTCCTTGTATGAAGTAAGGAAGTACTATAATCGCGAAAAATTTCGGGTATTATATTTCAACCAAACATATCCATTTTAACCACTCCCGTATCGATTTAAATGGTTCTTTTGCGTGTTAAATGTAGGAATAAAGAATAAAAGACTTAGTCTTTCCATTTTAGAATTCGTTTTCATTTTAGAAAATAATTTCCTTTTAAGATAAAACTATTAAACGTTAACTCGCTTGCCTTGAAAGTTAAATTTTCCTTAAAAATGAAACAACACAGCGTTGTAAAAAGAAACCTACTAAAGAGAATATTTTTTAATGTGAATTTAAGATGAACAGTTAAAATTCAGAAGAAAGAAAAGTCTTGTCAGTAGCTTTTTCAGTAGGCCTTATATCATACTTATTCTCAGTATATATTTTCTATTTTAATTATTTACTTACATAATTAATATTTTAAAATTGTTATTATTATATTTTATACTCTTTTTAGTCCAATAACATTATTCATAATAATTACAGCCAACATTCAAAATGATTCCTAATTTTCATATTTTCAACACTATTGCTCAAAATTATTTTAATTCTCAAA